TTGAGTACTGATTGATAACTCAGTCTGGGAGAACAAGATTTATTTCAGTACCAGTTGTAATTAGGTTTGAGCAAACTTCCAGTAATTGCAAATACTCTTATGTCGGTGCTTTGTGTCTATTGTCTTAATGTTAGTTTTTTTGCGTCTCGTACCGATCTTTTGAGTTAATTTGCTGATTTGTGCAGGTTGTTATTGTATTGTACTGTTACACCACTGTCCCAGCTTCGGGATGGGTTGCTCAAAAACATGTTGTTGTACTGTTACACCGCTGTCCCAGATTAGGGGGAGGATTGGGATCCCGCTAACATGTTTAACCCCGCCACATTCTGTATGTATGTGCTTGTCCCAAGTCAGGAGCTTGTAATTCAGTGGTTGTCGTTTGTTGGTTTGTTATACATATTTGTGTTTCGTTCATTTTTTTGTACATTAATTCGGCCGCAAGTTTTCTCGATTGAATTGTTTTACATTTTTGATTTCGGGGCCTTTTATAGCTGATTATCCGGTGTAGGCTTTGCTTATTGTCGAAGGCCGTACGGTGACTTATAGCTGTTGATTTCTGTGTCATTTGATATCTTGTGGGGAGTTGTCTCATTTGCAATCATACCACATCTTCATTTTTATATCCACCCTGCCATATTCTTTATTTGCCTGTCCCAGGGATGGAGCCTGTAGTTTAGTGGTTGTCGTTGGTTGCTGTCTCGACTCATATTTGATATTTTGTAAATTGTTATGTATAATTAGGTTGTTAGTTTTTCGTTTGAATTGTTCACACTTTTCATGTCGGGCCTTTTATAGACGACTTTACAGTATCAGGTTTTTGTCATTGTTGAAGGCCTTACTATTGGCTACAAAAAGCATTTGTCTACATGACGGCAAAAAGCTCTACAGAGCTTATGTTTGTAGTATTTCATGTAACCCGACTTAAAATAAATTTTTCTTATCTTATCTATAATTGCTTACATCCACTTCATATTTGAACTCCGGTTGATAGTTGCCTTATTAGCAATCATATTCCATCTCTTCATTTTTATATTATATACGTGACTTCTAAACTCGTGTTTTTCCTGAACAAGCATGAAATAATTTTCACTGGGCGTTAAAATTAGCAACAAACTATCAATCAATTTAAACTTGTGTTAAATAAGAGGAAAACCATTTGATATTTATTTATTTGTTGGGGTGGGGGACAGAAGGATTTCATATATGAATATGGTTGCCTGTTAAGAGCTGGAAAATAGGCATGATTAGCGACAGATTGAAATGAATAATAATACCCTCTCTTCCCTTCCCCATCCTTCATCTATAAATTTAAACTAACCACCACGGAATAGCCCAATAGTGTTGAAAGTAGCGTTAAACACCAATCAATCAAAATCCCTTCCCTAGAATATCAAATAATCGTCCCTTAACTGTTATTGTCCGTGTAGTTCTTATATTTATCCAGCTTACAGGGATGTCCTACTAAGGCTGTCATACCATAAAAACGTTTATAAAACAGCTCACATTCTAATATACAAATGTATCTGCATTCATAAATTTATTAATTTCATTTAGACTAAACGACGCCATGTTTGTTATGTGCCTCTGCCGTCAACCTATCAAAAAAGAAGGTGGAAGAGAGCCAAAAGATCTTCCCAATGCGAAAAAAAACACGGAAATGGACTTCTTCTGGCTCACTTCCGAAGAACAAAAAAAAAAAAAACGCGCTCCATTGATATGTTTTAAAAACGCCTTGCCCTTACCCTTTTTTCCAAAAAAAATGGCATTATTAAATATATAAACATATATATAATCATCAAAATTAAAATGTTATTGTATTTTTATAAGACCTACTTTATTACATGACCTGGGACTAATGACATCTATCTACAAGTCCTAGCATACATTAATTATTATAATATGAATATGTAATAACCACATGTGATGCTATGCATGAGTCGCCATTTATCAGGACATGAATTGGGTTTACATAGAGAGGATAAGGGACGACATCAGAAAATCAATGAAGGATAAAAAACTTAATTCAAATAGTTTTTTTTTTTTTTTGGGGGGGGGGGGGGGGGGTCAAAATTGCTGCAAGTTTTGTTTAATTAACATCGATTTTATATATATTCTTATTGGTCAATCAATTTTCCCAAATTAAGTTAAGAGGGGGGGAGGGGTAGGGGGTCAGTGAAAAAAACTATATGAATTAAGTTTTTTTTTATCCTACATTGAACTTTTGATGTCGTCCCTAATGTGCCAAAAAATAGATAAGGGGCGGGACCAAACCTATAGATAACATAATAAAGAAATGATGAAATATACATAATACGTTGATTGACTTTTTGTTGCCTTATGTCCAGTGGCAAATATGTCACGCATGTTTAGGACAAATATAATAGAGATCAAAGGATAAAGAATAGAGTGAAATGGTAAAAACTAAAAGATATAGAATTATAGAAACGATCTTTGATCTGAAACCCCTACCCTCACACACACACACCATAACCATTACTGCCAATACTCGCATATATACATCTCTATACAAATATCTAAATGATCCGCCCCTGTTAAATGGGTCTAATTATATACATTTTGTACGGGTCTAGATAATAGCTAAACGTACAATCATATAATTTGTTGGATACCTAATTATATTATATAATGTGTCACAAAATAAACTTGTATACCCCCCTTCCCAATGCAGTATTGAAAAGTAAATCATTTAAAAGTCCTGAAGATAAAATGTTTTGAAATATGCCCTGCATACTTATTTATGCAAAGACATATAGTAATTATTGAACTACTGTGGGGCTTGAAAAAAAATCTATTTAAGGGATTCGGAGACGAGAACAGTAAAAAAAGCTCAGCAACGAATCCTAAATGTAAAATGATTTGCAGCATAAGACATGAGAGCACATATTATAGATAGTATTAAATATGAAGTTCATATGGGTTTCTGGTTCTGCTGTCGTAATTAGGCGATTTTTTTTCTACATGTAGTAAAAAAGAGAGGGCTTAGTCCAAATAATTGTAAACGGTCCTGGGTGCTTTTTATTCTTTTTTCATGTGTGCCTTCCTGCAACGTCTCTGAGGATCAAGAAAAGTAAAAAATGATATAGCACTAAAGAACGTCATGATAACATGTATCTGGACTTAGAAGGGGGAGGGGGCTAGCTATGTATATTTTTTATTTCAATGTGTAGACTGTAGGAGAGTTTCTTCATAAAAGGTTTTCATTGGAGGTGTTTTTGCCATGCACGCAGGCATCTGTTTCTATCCATGAACAAGTTGTGTGTCAAATTAATTATTATTACTTGTCACTCGCATTTTTTGCTCGTCCTGGCCATTATTGGCATTAACAGCCAGTGCACGAACTCGCACGAACGCCAAATTTAGTTAGAGGGGCGATATTCTGACGCGTTTTTTAATTCTTGGTCACTCAAGTTTAGAAAGAAAGGGGAGAAATCCAAACAATTACCGACCAATCACAAACGTTGTTGCAAATTTGACCTTATGACGTCAAAGAATTTCCCATAATGCAATTATTGCATATAAATAAAAAAACTCCTATACCCATTGAATAAAAAATATTGCATTCAAATGACATTTTATACAAATTGAATAAAAAATATTGCATTTGAACGAAAATTATACCATTTGAATGAAAATTTATACCATTTGAATGAAAAATTATACCATCTGAATAAAAAATATTGCATTTAAATGAAAAAATATACCATTCAAATAAAAAATATTGCATTTAAATGAAGAAATATACCAATTAAATAAGAAATATTTCATTTAAATGAAAAATATCAAATTTTTGCAACCAATACCATGCCATAATAACCTGTCAATAGTTTTAGCTTATGTTGTTCCTTAACTAATGTTCTTCTGACTTATATTATCAATTTTAAATTCTAGATTTTTTTAATTTCACCTAAGTAAATCCTTAACAACCTTTAGAATCCAAAAAACCTCGTGATGAGACCCTAAAATCAAGCGCACCCTAGGTGTACTTGAATAAGTCAATTTTTATACATGTTTTAACCAATTTCTTTATGTAATTGTTATAGGGAAATCATTGCTAGCACTGTATGTAATAATCCTCTATCTATTAAGCACCGAATTGTCAAGTATAGGAGTACAATGGGAAAGGCTGGATTTTTTTTTATAAAATTTCCATGTTTAGCATTGACATAACAATAGGGTACAGTGACCTTAACTTTATTTTGAAGTGCACATTTTTCGTCCCTGCAGAAGATGATAAAATTAACAAACAGTTGAGTTTCATTTGTGACAGTTTCGATCATCAATTATTGTCAGGTATCTATTGTCCCTCTGTTTCCATGTTACAAAATCAATACAGTTCACTTCAATTATTACCTGTGGGGAAGTTTATAAACCTCTTTCCCAACTTTTAGATTATTTTGGCACCTTCTGTAGGAACGTAAAAAAGTACACTACAAAATGCAGTTAAGTTTTTTAATTTTCTAAAACATAAAATGAATTTGAATTTTATTTATCTAGGGCATGCCATTCATTAATACTTTTACAGATAAACAGGTTTTTCTGTACTCGGAGAGTAGATTTTGAGGTAAATTTTATGAACCTTAAGCTAAAGAGTGCGGAAACAAAAATTGGACGGAAGGACGGACGGTCAAGGGTAACACTAATACAAAAGAGCAAAAGCTGAGACAACACAAAACTCATTCAGGACTTATAACATTTTAAACAAGGTAATATTGATCCATCATAAATGCAGTTACAATCATTCTGTATAATACAAAATGAAATCCAATCTACAATTTCTTCCGTAAATATTAACTGAAATATATACATGCAACAAATAGAGCTATAAACTGACAATTACCAATTATATAGATGTTCAAAATGGAAAGAAGAACAAAAAATACGGCTATCAACTTAAACAGAAAACTTTATTTTGAACTACTAAAATCATTTTACTTAAACAGAAGCAATTGAACAATATAAAAGAATATTTTTACACATACCTGTACCGGCGACTGACACAATTCTCACTCCTTATATCAAATAATAACACATCTTTATATAGTCTACATAGTGTTCCCGCGCTTTTGAGTTCATGCATAGCACATGCAATTTTTAAAAATACTAAAATACTTATGCTATAGTCAGTATATAGCCAAACAATAGTCTGTTTCTAAATAAGTAGCAAAAACTAATTGTCGTCAATCGTCAAATGAATTATGATTTTTAATGAATAGGAAAAATACCATTAATATAAGATAACACCTGCTAAACCACAATTTCTTCCAAACTAATAATTTTACATTGTACTACATGTATGATCATTTGCCGAAATTGGATTTTTACATTTTGTAGATACATGATTAGGGTTTAAGAAAAAACAAATGGCCTTCAAATAATTTTTCCACTTTAGAAAATACACACTTTTAAAAATTTGCAAATTTCACCATTTTGGCAGTTTTGTAAAACTGTAAATATTTAGACCAGAATAAGCAAATATAGGGAAATTTTTAACCTCAGGTATTAACATATTTTGACAGTAGAAATACAGTATTACAATATATTCTTACCAATAAAACAGTAGCATGATGATAAACACTTATATTTGTCAGCTCAAAACTGCTGAAATTGGCTAATTTTCAGCCTTATTTTGACAATAAATGATTATTATAGGATTTAACACATTTTTTGTAGAGGTTATTGATGTGTAAACCGGGGCGATTAACTCACAAACTGAATAAAAGTCCTTTTATGTTAAGTTTGTGAGTAAGCGCCCCGGTTTACACATCAATAACCTCTAGAAAAAAATGTGTTTAATCCTTATAAATCTTGAGGCAAACATTCGCGATTTTTAATTAACAATTTTTTTTGTTTAATGGCTACTATTTACTATCAAATGCACAATTGACATGTCGTAACTAAGGAGTTAGCCGCCATATTGACTTTCTAAAATTCGTAAATGTTCGATAAATGCAACAGAATCTAAAATGAAATAGCAACTACCTCAAAAACTTCATTTTATTGAAATATTATCCGAATTTGAAACGTACAAGTAACGGAGATTGGATCCCTGCATGCATGTGTATCGCGCATGAATAGATCACAGTGAAGGTTATGAAAGTAGTTTCGGAAACATGGTTTATCAAAGTGTAAACCAAGGGAAAAAATTCTAACTGACCAATCCGTTTCAAGTATTTATAAATATGCAAATCATTTAAGAATTATATATAGATGGCGCTCCATAAAGAGACTACTATTGAATATTTTCAAAAAATGTTTTGCATTTGCACAGAGAGTAGTTGCCATGAAGGTATCATTATGCAAAATTCCAGGTTAATATGAACACATTGCATCTAGAGCCTATTGTATGGTTTTCTGACTGACTGGCTCTTAAAAAACGACTGGTATAAATGTGGAACATGATATATTACTGAAAACACATTAAAAACAACATGAAATGCTGAACAACTAATAACAAAACATACTTAAAATATATGTATAAAATAAATTGAGAATGGAAACGGGGATGCGTCAAAGAGACAACAACCCGACCAAAGAGCTGAAAACAGCACAAGGCCACCAATATGTCTTCAACACAGCGAGAAAATCCCGCATCCGGAGGTGGGCTTGTATATTGATATATAGATATAATTAAATAATAATGAGAAAAAGATTCCATGTATTTGATTTCTTTTATCCATTTCACTCATGCAGTAAGACAGCTTGATCTACATGTATAAACTTTTTGACAGAGATATGTCAATAATGTCTAAACCAAGATCCTGACTGATTTTCTAAAAACAGACGATACACAAAATTTGAAAATAGTTATGAATACATGCATGCAAGAAGCTCTGAAATCATGATTCTCTTTAAGATTTTAATATTTACTATTAAAATCTGTGCTCTCGTATATCATAGTTGATCATATAAAAATAAGAAGATGTGGTATGATTGCCAATGAGACAACTCTCCACCAGAGACCAAATGACATAGATGTTTAGAACTGGTCACCGTACGGCCTTTAACCATGAGCAAAACCCATGTCTATAACATATCCAGTTTTATAAACAGGGATATCTCTGGCATATTTAAACCACGTTCACTAAGCAAAGGCTCTGGTAGAATATATGAGTAATAGTTTAAGACAAAAGTATACACGCTGAGATTTCTCGCCTGTTTTACTGATCAGGATTGAACATAATGTAAAAAGTCTTTAAATCAAGGTCATACTACATCAAATAAACCTTGCATTATCAAGATCATTGAAAATAAGGTAAATTAAAGGGTCATATAAAACCTGCCGGACGGATGTATGCACTTCCCAATACCTCAATACACCAAATATAGTTGACCTATAATTAATTGCTTACGGTATCTCAGAAACAGACGTAACTTCACAAACAGCATGTTGACCAATGAACCATGAACATAAGATCAAGGTCAGATGAACCCTGCAAGGCAATCATTCAATAAATCAAATGAAATGGACCTATTTCTTAAATTTACAGTATCTGAGAAACGGTGGTAACCACAAACACTTCATGTTGACTAATGTACCATGAAAATGAGGTCAAAGACAGATTATTCCTGCCAGACAAACATGTACACCTTGCAATTATTCCATACACTAAATTTTATAGTTGCCCTTTTGCTTAGAGAAAGGAATGGAATAAATCACGAAAACTTAAAACATTACCCAATGAACCATGCAGTTGAGGTCATGGTCAGATGAATCCTACCAGACGGACATGTACTCCTCACAATCATTCCATACATCTGATATAGTTTACCTACTGCTTACAGAATCTGAGAACATACCTAATCACAAAAACTTATAACAATGACCAATAATTGACCATGAAAATGATTACAAGGTCAGATGAACCTGACATACGAACATATACAACAAACAATCATTCCAGGATACACCAAATATAGTTGACCTACTGCTTATTGTAACAACAAGACGAACCTTATCACTTAAAACTTAACACTAATCACTGATTAGCAAAGTAAGATGAACCATATCTGACGGACATGGACACCTTGTAAAAATCACATATACCAAATTAAGTCATTTAAAGACCAGTGCACTCATTTTTAGAATATTTTGACCAACATTGAAAAGACCAGTGGATTATTTTAACTTTAAATAGCCCGGTATAAACATCATATGGTGTTACATAGAGGAACAGGTCAATTTTGAAACACCAACAGTGTCATACGCAACAAATTTGCGATTTCCCTGGGTGAATATGCATGTAATTTTCAAGTATTGCCGATTTATCACAAAGTTAACATAGAATACTTATCCCCCTCCCCCCAAAAATTAAAACAAACCGGACGTAACAAATTTAACAACCATTACAAGAAAGTGTCAACACCAAATGATATACATCAGTTGAAAGCAGGACTATAATAAGAAAAAGACACTCCACAAAAATGAAATATGAAAAGCAGATCAATGTCATAACGTATCATACTCTTTTCACGTATTCATCAGAAACATAGAACTCTATTTCAATACAAGTCATCAATTGGCCTTCAACAATAGACAGATATCAATACTAAAAAGATTAAGCTAAAAAAATATGTGTCATTAGACTTTAAGGGTGTTGAAACTTCGAGATGTTAAAGATTTTGACAGCTCCATGTTTTGATATTGGCATTTTTGAAATTGTCAAAAAAATATTTGTAATATGATAGTTATATGTAAAATAGTTTTAAAACATACAAGATAAAAAATCAAAGCAAATTTGTTTGATGAACAGACACCATTATGATAATGACAAGAAGGAATCTACATTGTAAACAACAGTTGACACACCAAAATATCCCCTTTTTATGATTGAACTTTAAAATCACGTGTAAAAGGGGAGATTGCATGGTCAGTTGTTTTCCCTTATATATAATTGAGTTATTGACCTTTCATCGGCACAGTGTGTTGTACATGAGGTGTGTTCGATTTGTATATTTAAAACGTATTAGATTTGAAAAAGCGCGTTAGAGAATACCCATGGGAACATTGTATGCGGAGGAAAACACAGTTATTTGGGGAAAGGACAAATTGTTTTTGCCCTCCCCCCGTTTCCGAAATGTGTTATTTTTTCTTTTTATTTCAATATGTTTGTGTTTTTCTGTATAAGACTAACATATAAATACCACAAATGACATTTGTTATTAGTTTACTGTTAATTGCTAGCTAACCAGATATACAAGTCAGGTTTCTACTTCGTCAAAATTATCTCACCATTACGCCACCTAATTTTTATAATCGTAAAGAATGGAAGCCATTTTAGTGATGAAGCGCTGTCAATTTAGCTCTTAAAAACCGATCAATTTATCCACATAGCATCATTACGATTCTTATATGCCAGTTGTATTTTAAAATACAAATGTATCTACTAGCTATTGAGCATCATTCAATGTACTTTTATGCTTTGGTGACTTAAAACTATAGTCTAATCGATTGTCAGGGGGGGATTTCGAAAGTTCAAAAATATTTTAAAAAATTCTAATTAAATATTTCGTGGAAGGGCTGACTAAAAAAAAAAAAAAAAAGGTTGAAGACTAATTACCCTGATAGCACACAAAAAATGAAGCTTTTTTGAAGTTATGCATTTTTAAGATCCACTTGTAAAGTCTGTCGTCAATTTGTTTTTCGAACACACCTACTCTGTTGTCATGACTCATTATTTCACTTGACCCATATATTTCATTTTTTAGTACTGCACATTTTTAATGTTATATTATCAACCTATAGCCTACATTCATAAAAAAATAATAGAATCTGAAGTGAGATGATGTATCAAATATTTTTCTTTTGTACGTTTTCAATCGTCTACAGAATAGTCAACTCAAACACGCCAGAACATAAAGAGGTGTACTTGACTTTCTCTTTTCGATGAAATTATTACCCGTTTTGGGGATTTTTTCCCAAAAAGCTGTCGCCGGGGGCAGAGATGCAAATTAATGCTTTAAAAATCTTTCTTTGGAATTTTTTTCGGCGGAGTTCATGCTCAAAAAAGATCCACATGTATTTACATACCACAATCGACTGTTTTGTGAAAATTTGTCTATAATTTAAAAGTTTACAAATATT